CCTAGTGGATGCTTCATAGGGGGTGTTAGCGCAGTATACGGTAGGGCTGCAGGGCCCATCAGCCCTGTGCCCAACTGGAGTAGGCCATGGGGGCACGAGTGCAGTTGTTCTAGTCATGCCGCAAAGTTGCCAAATTCTTTCTTGCCACAACTTGATATTGGATGGTACTTTACTTGGGAGGTATTCAATTCCATCGCAGCTTGCCTTTGATGCACTGGGATTGGTCCTTCTGGGGCTCCTACCTTCCCTACATTCTGACCATGTGCCACCCTGATGTTACAGCATCGATCTCACCCTTGGGTCTCACCAAGTGACTTCTTTCTTTTTTTCACACTTATAGGCTTGTGGTCTCCTTGAGCCAGCCTGTCTCCCCTGTATGATGGCCACCTGAGCCCGAACAGTCCCCTGTTGGAGCGCTGTGAATGAAAACAGAACCAAAGAACATGGGACATATAAATCAAACTAAGGTAAGTATCTCAGTGTTTGGGCTTGTCAGCTTACAGGCAGTCTTTCTGCTGCTTTACACTAGGGCCCAGAGAGCAGTGGAGGCTCTCCGTTCCTCACTGGGCAGGTCTGCTCTGGACCAGAGGAATAAAAAAAGAAAAACCCCTGGTTGGGTTTGTCTCCCTGTGATATGGAAGCCCCAGCCTTGGGCACTTCCATGCTGGCCTGGTGTCTCCCAGCTAGGTCTGAACACTTCTGGATGTGCGCCTTCCCTTGGCCCTAACTGGCTACATGGGCCCAGGGATGAGAACACAGCATTCAGCCTGCACCCTTCTCCTTGTCTTTAGCCCATCACTGGCTCTTCCTTCTTTGGCCTGGGGTCATGGTCCAGCCTAGCCGGTGGCCCTTTGGTGAAACCAAAGGAAAAGCAAAAAAAGGAAAAAAAAAAGAAACAAGACCTTTCTGGGCACAGCCACCTCTCCTGTGGCTAGCTTGTCCCCTGGCAAGGTGTCCTGCTAGCTCCCGCCACTTTCCTTGTGACAGACTCAAAGCCAGCGTCTCCTGGTGTCCTGGAGCCCCTCCGAGCTCCTACGTTGGCCAGTAGCCGGCTTCTCATCCTCTGGAGCCTTTTCCCTGGCTCCTCTGATCCTGCCTCCAGGCTCTGTCCTTCAGCCCATCTCGCCTCTCCTCTGGTCCCCATGGAGGGCCAGAAATACCCACACAACTTCAGGGCGGTCCAATCTGGACTGAACAGCTACTGATAAAACATGGTTCCTACAGTATCCTTTGTTCTCCTGGCATTGCTGGTTCTGCCATGGCAGGTGAGTCTCCAGCTGTTGTGGGTATGAAAGGGTTCTATCTCTTTTCTTCACAGAAGGCCACTTAAAGGGAGAGTAAGAATAGAGCAGATTTCTCTCTCCTGTAGCAAGCCAGGTTATAGTCAGGGAGATAGTAGGTAGTTTCCTGATGGGTCCTCTTTCTGGTGCTTTCACAAACCCTACTAAATCTTGGGTAGTTAATGGGATGTCATGTAGATGTTCTTGTGTTTGTTGTACTGATAGGCATGTGTGGTCTCACTGAAATGCCCATATTATGCTCTATTCATTTATGTCACTTATCTCTGTATGGATTGTTATGCTGTTTTCACATTTCTTTATGATTTTTGACAAGGTCTGGCCAAGGAACTTAGGGATTCATATTTAGGGAAAAGGGAGTGGGTGGATATCTCATCATTATGTCACTAGGGCAATAAGAATTGCCACTCCCAGAGAGAGGTAGAAGACATCATTGGGTTGGGCACCCTGTAATGGGGAAATCAACTCTACAGCAAAGGTGTCGAACAAAAAGGGCCCATCAGCCAGAGGAATGCCAGATGTCCTAGGGAGGTAAATTTCTGGGATTCTGGGCATCTATACACGTACTCCAGGGTAGAGGGGAGGGCTTTAATTAAAGTGGCTCTGAGAGCTTCTTTAATTAAAGCACCTTCAGCATCATGTGTATTCAGCATCCCACACTTCAAACTGGCAGCAGGGGCACTTTAACTAAAGTTTGTTTGATGAGCTTTAGTTCAAGTGTCCTTGTCGCCATTTTGAAACATGGGGACACTGAATACATGTACGCGGAGGCTGCTGGAATCTGTAATTAGCACGATCCAGAAGACTTGATTAATCAAGTCTGCTTCACCACATGCTAATTAGCACGCATCGGAACAGAGCTCTGTCACATGTACAGGTGCCCTCTGTGACTCACGGGAATTGTGACAGTGCTGAAGGGCATGGGGGCTGGCTTGGAGTTCTTTAGGAAGATATCTGGGTGATATGCCCAATCTTCGGGTTTTCTCAGGCTTTGGAGTCCAGTTCCCCAGCAGACAGGGCTGGCAGAATCAGCAAGAAGGCTGTTCTCTAAAAATACTGGCAGGTCTTTCTGAAAGACTAGTTGATAGTCAGATGAAAAGGGAGGAATTTTTACTTGTCTTTTCGTTCCAACTCCAAGCCTAGGGTCAGCTTTTCTTGCATCATTCTTTTATCCTATATAAATCAATCTTATTGTTATTTGTCTCTTTATTGATTGCCTGTGATGAAGCGTGATCTCTGGGCAAGTGATATGCCAGGTTAACCCATTTGATGGAAAGTGGGATCTAAAATTTCTGTCACAATCCAAAGGGAAGTCACCTGGAGCTGGCAAACCTTAGGGAAAAGTGGGAAAAGTGGCAGGACAGTAGGGAGAAACTGGGGCTATAGGGGCATCCCACAGACAGGTTTGTGACAGATGCAGTGAGAAGAAACTGAAAATAGCACAGATCTGATTCAATGAGTGACCAAAGGCAAGAATTCAGCAAAATACTTTTTTTTTCCATTTTAAAAGCTTGAATCCCAAACCCTTCTCAGTGCTTATGTATAATTTGTGCTAATGGATTGTTATTAATGAATTAAGGAGCTTTATACTGCATCTGCTGCAATCATAGACCTTACGGATTTTTAATACAACCTCTGTGGCAGACAGAATTTTCTAGAAACATTGGGCCAGAGTCATGCGTGTTATAAACTGGCATAGATCCATTTACTTCAGTGGAATTATCCTACATTTATGCCAGTTTAAACATGGCCTACTGTTTTTAAATTAGGCAATAGAAAATGTAACTAAAAATGGCAATTTTGGGAGAACAAATAAGAAGAGCTTTGCCACCGGGAAAAAACAACTATGTTTGAAAATATCTTTGCTTCTGTTGCAAAGTCATTCTTTTGCTAACAACTTCCTCCTGTTTGGTTTCATGACTTCCTTTTCATGATTTAAACCCTCCCCACCTACTGTGGGGTTTTAACCTGTAGGACTGAAGCTTAAGAAGACTGCCCCTCAACATTTGCTTTCATGTTTCTTTTTTTGTCTCTGACTGGACTGATACCAATGGATATAAGTGCAGAAAAAGCAAGAAATGTGATTTAGTAAGGCTTTCTGTTACTGATGTTCTTCTACCACTACTGGAGGAAGAAGGAAATTAATCCCTCTAGTGGATGTGCACTGACCTAGAGAGATGTATTATTATTCATTGAGATCTACATGCCACATGAAGGTACACAAAACATCTTTGTAAAAAGTTACTGAGTTATTTATAGAATCTGCAGTAAGTCTAGACAACCTTTTAAAAGCAGTTTATCATAACATTTACATTTTCTACCTCAAAATAATACAAGAATAATGTATTGTAGAACAAAAAGCTACTTAAAATATAGAGTGCTTTTCCAATCGAACGGTAAAATCAATTACTATATTTTGGGTCTTGCCAGCAATTGTTTACCTCTTCATTCTGGCAATTAGGCAGGAAGTGGCTAGACTGAGGAAGAGTCTAACAAAATTAAACAGATTCATTCTGTATAGTTATGGCCTATATTGGAGCACTGATACTTTTTTCCAAATCATCAGTTATCCCTACCATCTTTGCCAAATTCTCAAGATTCCCCCATTTTCCTCCATTTATAATCCATCTGTTCTGCTCCTTATAGTTCTGACTAGAGTTAATTTTGTCAGGTTCCCACTCATGACAGTCCTTTGACTGTTCTGAAGAGTGCCCATAAGCAATATTGCTAGATGCTATCAATTGAGTGGCTAAAATTTTAAGACAGAAGGCAGAGTAGATGTATATCTTTATCAACAAACTAAATCAGAGATATATAGCATAAGCTTTCATAAGCAAAGGGCGTACACTAAGCATAAGCTTATATATAGTATAAGTTTTCATAAACATAAAACTTATGAAAGCTAAATCTAAAAGTAGAAATCTACCCTGCCTTCTGCCTGACTTCAGAGTAACATGCCTAACTACCTCTCCATGACATTTTCAGAAGCAGCGAGCAACCCATCCTCCAACTGAAGTCTGCGAGCAATCAGCACTTCTGAAAATCAGGCCCAACAGGTTGGCACCAAAATGTATCTCCACATTACCTTAATAATGCTAAGATTTTAAAGAGCTCTCTCATTAAATTGGTATCTCTTGTATGAGCATATAACTTGAATCAGGTGCCAGTTTTGTATCATATTCACTCTAAAAGTTGTTGATTATATTAAAGTTCATTCCACTTCTATGGTTCTACAGAATTATTGCAAAGATACAGTAGACATCCATTGCAGCCTTGTATTCAGGAACACAGCTGCAAACATTAAAAAGAAGAGCCAGCTTCTTTATTCGCTCTTCCCAAGATTTAGTGAGGTAATTCATTATTCTTTAACAAAGGGGGTAACTTTTCTCTTCCACATACAATGGTAGCCTATTGTACAAATATGAAACCATGATTTTCAAATTTTAACCAAATTTTTTATCATCTTCCTACAGAAAATACTTTTCTTCAGTTTCAGTGATAACATCAATTAAGTATAACAAGTTCCAGTTCATATTTCACAGGCAAAATCTGATTTTTTGCAGTTTTAATTTATTTTATTTAAACACATATTTAATTCATTTACTTCCCTACCAAATAAACTCTTTTTTCTGATTTAAGGTTGTTTGCAACTTATATACTATAGGAGGTACACAGCACAAGAAAAAAAGACATGTCTCTTACCATAATGAGGAATTATTAACCAGGCCATGGCAGAAGCATAGATTCCTCCAATCATCCAAAACATGCATAGCCAACTCAAGTGTTCACCACGTTTCTCTCGTGCAAGGACTTCAGAAAAATACGAGAATACTGCTGGAACAGCTCCACCAATTCTAAAAGGAGACATAAAGCAGGTGTCAAGGTTACAGAGATGTTAAATCTTTACAGTGTGAACACACCTCATTTTATCTACTTGATAAAATGACACACCTCATTTTATGTACTTGGTACCTGAACTACAAGAGACTTTGATACAAAAAGAGTTTGGGTTTCTGTCTTTTGTCACAGCAATAATGGATTTCTATATGCTACTGGCATGATTACAATGTATTTTAGGAACTCTAATTCAATTAGATGCAACAATTTCCATGAAAGCAATATGGTCAATAAAGATCTAGAGGATTAAAGAATTTGTCAGGGGGCTGTAGGAACTTGCAGATATGGGACCAACATATTTTATATATTTGGAGTTAGGCTATAGAAAGTAATACCTATTTGATTCAATTTCCCCTTCCATCCTTTAACAGAGAACACTATGATGACATTTTTAATGACCCTGATTATTTCATGCATGATTTGGGGTACGAACAAACATACAACTGTAGTGGCTTCAAAGGGAGATGCTACTCCTGACCATGCAGCAGCTGTTATTCTGTACCTATTAGTGTGCATGAGACTGAAACAATACAAGTGAAGCAAAACTTACCCGATTTTATCTTTGCTTCACCCAGGTTCAAAGTTACAGTAATTTAGCTCTGTGAGAGGGGCAGTAAAAGCCCCTCTAGTGTGTCCCAGACCCCTCCCCCACGCACCCCGATACTCACCACAGGAATCCAAATGAGCGGCAGCTGGGGAGAAACATGGACGCAGCCTCCGAAATTCAGGACCTGCCTGAGCCTGCGTATCAGTGATTGATTGGGGGTGGAGCTCCAAAGAGGCGTGGGCCACTCAAAAAGCAGCTGAGAACACAGCTGAGGGGCCAGCAAGGGAGAAGCGGGATGCTGGCCAGGAGACGCTGCCTGCAGAGCCGGAGATCACAAGCCCTGAGTGCAGGAAAGCAGAGCAGAGCGTTTGCCGGAGGGCTCCGGCAGACTGGACAAGGAACACAAGCCTAAGAGACCCAGGGATGCTGGGGAGTGACATTGCAGGCCCACCAGTGAATCCAGGTATGGTGGCTGGGGATGGTGGCAGGGAGCTGCTAACCCTCTCAAGCGGGGAGGAAGGCAGAGCCCGGCATGGGAACCGCAAGCTCCACCAGCCCAGGAAGAACAGGAGACCAACTACAGGTCAGTGGGGACCCGGAGGCGGTCACGCTGGGAAGATGGATCAGGGTGGGACATGGGGTGGCTGCCCACCCCCACAACTACTACGAGGGAAGGGACGGGCGAGTTCCCCTTCTTCTCTTCCCCTGCCTGAGTGACCAAGCGGGCACTGGGAGATAGGATCCCAGGGGTCCATTGGCAGAGGCCGGACATTTTCTGTTGGATGCATTTTTAGTTCCAGTTAGCCCCAAGCCGGGGCAGGTTTAGAGGCCCAAGCCAGCCTGAAGTTGAGGGACTGGCCGTGGGCAAGATTGTGCTGGCTGAGAAGACCTGACTTATTGTGAGGCGGGTGGTCTGCATGAGAAGAGATCATCCAAGGGAAGACCTACAGGGTGCAGTGTTTGCCCAGGCCATGGATGTGGTAAGGGTGGGGTAAAGGGAAGGTTTGGAGCCCCACGAAGAAAGACCAGGGTTGAGACCTCTTCACTCTGGGTGCCACCTGAAGGGAACTGCCTCCCCAATAAAGGACATCGAAGACGTGGCAGATGAGCAGGAGCAGCACCCACACCATCTAGGTGGCACCAGATGCCCGATCTCACCCTGACGTCGCTTGGGATCAAGGCACCCATCAAGAAGGAGGCTGAAGTCCTACAACACCTACAAGCGACAAGCTCACTTGTATTGCTACAAGATTATGCACATGTAACAGTGCACCTGTAAACTGCTGCAAGATCAGATGCAGCAGCAATCCCTCTCCTTCTGAAGCTGCTACAAATGTATGTTTATCCAAACCAAAGGTGGGCAAATTACAGGCCTGCCAACTAATTGGATCCTATCCATGGGTGGGTACCCACCAAGTGAATGGATTCAGCTTATGGGTGCACAGAAGTTCTGGCAGCTGTGTGGTGCTGGGCGGCCAGGGCTACTTCTGGTGTGTTGGGCTCTCTCTTAGGGCTGTGTGAAATTTCGACGGGTGTTTTATTTTGAAGCTGTTTTGATGTGCTTTGAGCTTGAAATAGTGAAATCAAAATGAAATGGAAGGCTTCGAAACAGGTTTGAAATGAAACGAGGGCACTTGAAACGTTTAGAAAGTTTTGAGTTGCAATGCTGGGCTTGCTTGCAGCTAAACAGAAACTAAGGAGAGGGAGGGGGAAGGACTGCTTTGGTATTGACATGTGTAGCTGGCCAGTGACTGTGATCCTTCCCTGAGGTCCCTTCCAATCCCAGTGCTCTGGGATAAAAAAGTCCCACATGTCACTCTATAAAGGAAGTCGAACAGTGTTTAACTACTACTTCTGTCCCCAGTGGGGTTCAGTCCAGTAGGCCTGTTCAGAGTATACCTAATACATAACCACCAACATGGAGTTCAAGACAATGCAGATCAGCCACAGCTATTTTCAATGAAAAACAGGAGGTGGTATTGCTGCTCATGGTTAGAAGACTCACCTAGGAAGTAGGAGATCTAAGTGTTAGGCCTTGCTCAACCTGAGGGAACGAAGTCAACTTCTCCCACCTCCCTGGAGAAATCCCTTAGCCATTCAAAAGTAGAAAAAATGGGGGAAGGTACCCTTTGCCCCTGGTGTTACAGTTGCTGGTGTGGGGGAGGGCTGGGGGGAGTCCCTGGTGAGTCAACTTATACACCGGATCTACAAAAAGCCTAACTTTTTTGTATAGAAATATGGGGTTGACTTATATACTTATGGCAATCAAAATGACCAAAATAAAAACATCACATCGTCCAAAGGATATAAGAAATTATGAATGCTCTGTATATAAAGTTTGTATGTAAAGTCTGCCCTTATTTTTACATAGATGTAAACCCCTCATCTGGCTTCAGCTGAATCATACATTATCTACACTTGTTTAACCAAACAAAATTTGGTCCACTGTATTTCTACCTAGAGGTTTAAAAACAGATCATCTTTTCAGTACTTCACCCACATCCTGGTAAAATACTATAAAGATACTGGCAGTAAATTCCTGATCACAATGAATGAAATCAGTGGGAGTTTTGTTATTGACTAGAATATGGTCAGTATTGGTCATTCTGTTTTTTTGCCATTTCCCACAGGGTAAACTATTATAACTACTCTGATAATTAATTAGCTCAATTTAGTGTGCAGTGTGTCCTTGTTGAGTTTACGAGTTACGTGGTTAATCCTCACTTGTAGAGTAAACATCTGATATATAAAAATGCATGCCTCTGTATATTCCCTGTGCTCAGCTGAAAAGGTTGGGATATGTTGTTAAATCTGGCTTGAAGAGGCTGATTATTTTGATATCAGGGAAGGAACTAAAATCATATTTAAAAAAATCAATTTAAATAAATGTAGCAGGCTCACATTTCAGAGCTTGGGTTGAATTCCAGGCTTGAGATCCTGCTGTTTTGATTGGTGGAGCCCATCCAATCAGGAGGCAGCAAGAGAAATAATGTCATGCCTCTTTCCTGAGGGGAGGGGGAAAAGAGTTCCCCCAGACTTGATTGAAGACTGTAAACTGTCAGGTCTGGAAGACTTCAGGGGTGGAGCCCTGGAGCATATAAAAGGAGCTGCATGCCCAGCATGGGAGGTGCAGATGCAGTGAGAGACTCAAGAAGAGCGGAGCCAAGGAAAGCTGGGGAGCTCTCCCCCAGTGGGCAACAGGCCCAAGGCTCCTGAAGCTGCCACTGGAGGAGCAGCCTTGGGAGTGGTGCGAGACTGCTCGGGCTGTTGATGGCGCACAGGGACAGTGTGGGGAAACCTGGCCCTGGGAGTGGTGTGAGACCACTCAGGCCCATCATGTACATGGTTTGGTGCATGGAGCCCAGGCTTTGGGAGTTGCAAAGGCAGCTCAAGCCTACGACCCCGGCAGGGCCAGCAGACCACACGGTCAGCGGAGCAGCGCACAGGGCAAGGGCCTTGGGGTCCGTAGTGAGGTGGCTCAAGCCCCATCTTCCGGCAAGTGGCCAGGTCCCATGGTGCACAGGGCAGCGCACGGGTCCGAACCTTGGGAGCGAGGGAGCAGCAGAGGCTGCTTGGGTTAGCCACCTGGCGTGAAGATGGACAGCTGGAGCCTGAAGGGTCTGGCCTGTGCTAAAAGAGACCTCAGTGCCAAAGTCAGGGCACGGGGAAATAGTAGTACTGCAGCGTGAGGCCCAGCATCCCAGAAGCCAGCAGTGGTGTTGCAGCAGCTGAGAGGAGCTGAGCCTTCGGTGCCCACAGCAGAGCCCAGCAGTGTGGAAAAGGTGCTCCAGCAGAGGAGACCCCATCGAGCTGTGCCCTGACCACCGCCACCTGAAGGAGCGTGAGTCATTGGGGCCTTTGGGTCCCACAGGGGAAAGACGTTTGGGGTGGGCGACCCCAGAGAAGGGGCTGAGTGAGCAGACCCCCTGCCTAGTCAAGTCCCTAAGGGGAGGGGTCCCTGGTGCTTCCTGGACACCCCGGAAAGGAGCCCATTGGAAGGACGACTATCTCTTGCCGTGGGTCAGGGACTATATTAAGGAATAGGTGTTATTAAGATTGTTTGCACCTTATATTTTGTAATTGAAATGTTGTATTGTGATGTTGTATTGTGTTGATGTTGCTGAAATTGTTTTATTGTGATGGGTAAATAATGTTATTTAGGGTTTGACCTTAGTTATTGGTTAATGTTCACTGTGGAAATATATGTATATGATAGTTAGTTTTATGATTATGTATATTGTCGCTGGAAGGTGTTGTAAGGCTTTGGCCTTTTCTTACTGGGAGCCTTGCCCCCAAGCGACATCAGGGTGAGGTTCAAGCTCGGATGCCACCTGAGTGGTATGGGTGCTGCCCATACTTGCCTGCCACAACTTCGATGTTCTTGTTGGGGAGGCAGTTCCCTTAAGGTGG